TGTGTGCAGACAGGCCTTGGTCACTGGGAAGTCTCACCAGGCTGACCCAGGTGGCCCGGGTAAGAAGGGACTTTACAGCCTGTGATTTCACCCAGGCCAGGGTAGCCAGCACCCTTGGGCATCTCACCTGGCTGCAGTAGTCTGGGCTCAGGACCTGCATACAGCCAGCACTACCAAGCACACCAGGCCGCTTAACTAACTGCCTGCCTCCAAGCACCGCATTCTGACACTGCCCCACGAGCTGTCCTGGCTTCCGGAGACCCCCAGGCTGCTTCCCCTGCAGGATGAAAACAGTCTCATGGTGGCGGGAGCTGGAGGACTTTGGTCAGGCACATGTGTTGTGGGGTCTGTGGGGTGCAAGGAAGCTACACCTGGCACCAAACAACAATTTATTTACAAATGGCTCCGTATGGTCACCTCCAAGTTTAGGACAATAGCTTTGATGCTGGGGGGGCAGGGGTCTGGAAGCACCTCTTGTAGAAAATATCACCATTGGCTTCAAGTCCACCAGACTTGAGTGCACATTCTGGCTGAGCTATGGGGACTTGGTCAGACTGCTTAGCCTCTGGGAGCCTGGGGGCAATTCCACCGCAGAGTAAATGACATTCATAGACCCTCCTGTCCAGGTTCAATTGTTGTTAGTCTTACGGAATCAGCTACAATTCAGGTGACCTCGTGTAGAACAGAAGAAAACGTTGCCCTATTCTGTTTATGGCCATGTCGTAGTCATTGTTTCAACCCATCTCATTGAGGGTTTCCTTCGTTTCGCTGACCCTCTTTGTTGTTGTTGTTGTTAAATGCCATCAAGTTGGTTCTGACTCATAGCGACCCTGTAGAGGGTTTCTGAGTGAGTTTGAACCGCCCACCCTGCGGTTCAAACCGACCTTGCAGTTCAGTTCTTTATCCGACACGGCCACACCAGAACCAATGATAATGTCTTTTTCTAGTGAATGGTGTTTGCTGATGGTAGATCCCAGAGTAAGAGAGCCGAAGTTTTCCCATCCATGCTTCTAGGGAGCATTCTGGTTGTATTTCTACTAAGACTCATTTGTTCATTCTTCTGGCACTCTATGGTCTATTCAACATTGTTTGTCAACACCACAATTCAAATGTATCAGTTCTTCTGTCTTCCTGTTTTCATTTCCCATGCATATGAGTCAAATGAAAAGGCCATGGCCTGGGTCAGACTCACCCACACAACATGCAGTAGCCACTCAATAAGAAGGAAAGACACACTTTAAAAAGGGGAGGAGGCGTTGCTAAGGTCTGAATCGATTCGATGGCATTGGGTCTGTTTTGGCTAGGTTATAGTCTCCTCAATGTACATTTGCAGTATTGGGAAAGAAAATAACTTCAGGAATGGTCCATTTTAGAAAAGGTGCTTCTCTGCAACTGAGGGAACTTGTAAACTAGCCTCAGGGAGCATTTTCCCTTTGTGCAAAGAACTTGCCGCTTAGTAAGTAAGTAAGAACAAGACAGTACAACAGGAAGGCCACGGCAAAGACAATGTCAGTTGCGTTTTTCTGGATTAGCTCAGGCTGTCCCCCTTCCCTGAGGGAAGCCAGCTGATACCAGGTCTTTATGTGGACCCAATGGGTGACACAACAATGGTGGCTGTGGGTCAAATTGTGGAAGATCCTTCCTGCTCCCCAAGGTTTGTTAATAGTTCCGTCTGGTTACAGTGAAATCATATTGACTATAAACTATCCAGAAAATAGAGAAAAGCCCAAAGAAGGAAAAAGCCATTATTCGTAATCCTACCACCCAGGGATAAATAACCTCAATATTTTGGTATTGGTTCTTTTACATTTCTAATATGCAAATATGTTTTTATATTTATTGCTATAAAAAATGAGATTATAGAAGACATGCTTTTTGTAGCCTATCTTTTTCTACAATTAATACATCATGCAATTTTTCCACATCATTAAAAAATCCTATAGAATGTAATTTTCATGGTTATATGGCATTTGATCGTATGTATAATTTATTTAACCATTCTCCAAATTATATTATTTATATTTATAATGCTTTACCATTATAGTTAGCATCCTGGGAATAAATTTCGGTTTATTTCCATGATTATCTCCTCACCATGAATGTCTAGAAGTGGAATTGCTAGACCAAAGGGTTTGCACATGTGTAAGGCTTTTGATGTGCATTGCCCTCTAGGAGACTACTAATTTACATTCCCACCAACAGTGTATGGATGCTTCATGGTTCCCTAATCTCTGGCCAGCTGTGCATATTATCCTACTTTTTAATCTATGCCAATATGATAA